GTTGCAGCAACGTTGCTAACCTTTTTTGGTATTAGATGGCTTATTCATTATGAATTTATATGAACTGGACATACAGTTAACCAAGTTTACTATTTGGAAGTGCTGAAAAGGCTGCATGAAAAAGTTAGACGACCTGAACTTTTCACCAACAATTCATGGCTCTTGCATCATGACAATGCACCAGCTTTCACTGCACTCTCTGTGAGGGAGTTTTTAGCGAGTAAACAAATAATTGTATTGAAACACTTTCCCTACTCACCTGATCTGGCCTCCAATGACTTCTTTCTGTACCTGAAGATAAAGGAAATATTGAAAGGGAGACATTTTGATGACACTCAGGACATCAAGGGTAATATGATAGCTCTGATGGCCATTCCAGAAAAAGAGTTCCAAAATTTGCTTTGAAGGGTGGACTGGGTGCTGGCATTGGTGCATAGCTTCCCAAGGAGAGTACTTTGAAGGTGACCATAGGATATTCAGCAATGAGGTATGTAGCATTTTTTCTAAAATGAGTTTACAGACTTAGTTGTCATGCCTCGTATATTTGACCCCCTTTTCCCTCTTTTACCACCCCCTCCTCTTTACACTCTGGTAATCTCCAAACTGTTGTCTGTGTCTATGAGGGTTTTGTTTGTTTGTTTGTCTTATTTGTTTATTGCTTTCAGTTTTGTATCACACATATGAGTGAAATCATATGGTTCTTGACTTTTTCTGTCTGATTTATTTTGTTTAGCATGATAATTTCAAGATCTATCCATGTTGTCTGAATTGGCAGTATTTCATCTTTTCTTATGGCCAAGTAATATCCCATTGAATGTATGTACCACATCTTTTTTATCCAATCATCCATCAAAGGACACAGACCAATGGAAGAGAATTGAAAATCCAGAAATAAATTCACATATATGGGCAGATAATTTTCCACAAAGGAGCCAAAAGCATGCAATGGAGAAAAAAGCTTCTTTGATAAATGGAGCTGGGAAAATTGGAAAGCCACATGCAAAAGAATGAAACTAGACTGCTATTTGTCACCATATACCAAAATTAAACTAATTTTTAAGCATTGTATACTTTGTAATATGTTGCCATTGAGTCTGTGTTTTATTTGCTTAGTATTTAGCTAGTGTTTCACAGATTGATCTTAAATACATGAAGCCAAAAACAGAAAAAAAAAGTAGAATGTTGTCTCCCAGTTTTTGCAGATTTGGCTCTGCATTGAGGCACTTCTTCATGCATAAACATTAAATTTACAATGCTGCCTTAGTCTTTACTTCCTGCTGTCAATTTAAAGTTACAAAACTGAAATAAGAAGTGGTAAGAATTTATTTGGGATCAAAGAATTGTGATTTGTAGATCACAGGTTTAGGCAGAAACCCAAATAGTGTACCATTTGCAGGGTGAGGTCAATGACTTTTTATGAGAATAGGAAAGGAATGATTACATAAAGAGAAGAAAGTAATTCCTATTGTTGCTAACAAGCTGAGTTACACTTTAGCTATACATAATTTCTTACCAATTCTATCTTCAGATACAGGGTCCATAATCATTAATCCTTGTGGTCAGATGTTCACTGCCCTTTTGGCTTATAAACATTGTTTAGAAGACAATGTTCGTTTGGTTCTGTACAAATGTTGGGCCCAATTCAAACAGTCCAATGATTCAACTAGTAAGATGTGCAAGGTAGTTTTTTTGGAATGACTGCTCTGTTTCCATTTTTAAATGGTGTTCCATTTATATTAACTTTCACATTTCCTCCCTTTGATCAAGATCTTTCCTTGAAAGTATCACTGATATAGTATTGCAGAGCAATGCTGGTCAGTTATTAAAAGTATTATTAATCTCTGTCAACAGAAAGGCTCATTCCTGGCATGCCATCTCATTGTTGATCACTTCTTGCTAGGAAGGCTTATTCCTGGTATGTCATGTCCAACATAGGAGGGAAAGTGATTTTCTTGGGAGACTTTGTCCACATTTAAGCAACAAGAGTGCCAGAGCAGAGGAAGGCTTTATCTTCAGGTTCCTCTAAGGCAGCAGTTCTCAACCTGTGGGTCATGACCCCTTTGGGGGTCGAATGACCCTTTCACAGGGGTCGCCTAAGACCATCGGAAAACAAAAAGATATTTACATTACGATTCATAACAGTAGCAAAATTACAGTTATAGAGTAGCAACGAAAATAACTTTATGGTTGGGGGTCACCACAACATGAGGAACTGTATTAAGGGGTCATGGCATTAGGAAGATTGAGAACCGCTGCTCTAAGGGAAACATCTTCTGTAGTTCCTTGGGGTTTCTCATGTGAAGTCCTATAGGCTTGGTGATCACTTAAAAGTGCTGAGCAACTATTATCCAAGTAGTGTGATTTTACAACATCAAGGTACACAGAACAGACAAAATTTTATATCAAGGATTCTTATAATGATAAACAAATGCTAAGTGTAATTTGGAGAATAGACTTGAACCAGCAGGCAATGCTTAAGGGCAGCAACTAAAGAGATCAATGAACTATATGGTATCAATGGGCACTTAACCATTTGACTCATGCCTGGATTTTGTCTAGTTCTGTCTCTGTGATGCCAGAAGTACTTACCCAAGTACAACAAAAGATATGTAGAACAGAAACAACTCTACCTTGTTCAGCTAGGATATGATCGAGAACAATTCTATTGTCCAATATAACTCATGAGAAGGAATCCAAAGATTTTTCTTGGGTAGGTATTGATTAAGTGATAGATGTGGCAATATTGCTTAAGGTTTTGAATATATTTTTAATTATATATTTATTCCATGCAGTTTCTACCTAAAGAAAAAAGAATAATTCTTACAAATCTGGCAGCTTCACTGGGTTTGAAACTCTAAGGTAATGAACACAATTGGCTATGTGTACAAGCAGTTTCATGTTTTAATCTGTGATATAGACTTAAGGGTGATATCCAATGCTGAGTTTCTAATTGATCATATAATGAAATGAAGTGACCAATAATCCAATTGCACGACAATAACCTCCAGGTTGAGAGGGGTTTAAATAGTGTGTTCACCATAGGATTTTTGCAAAGTGCGTATGTAAATATATCCTAATGGCACACAGCTCATAGAGTTATTATAATGAAATTGATTAACTCAAGAATCTGAAGGATTGGAATAATTAAGGCAGTTAACTGCAAGTGAAGTATAATTGGATTGAAAAATGGATGTTCAGAGGGGATACTGCTGATACCAAGGATGTTTTGGTAGTCATAATGTCCTATTTTTACAAATATTATCTCTCAAGTCTCTGGAGATTCAGTTGGTTTGGCAAGGAGTCAAAATTAACAAGAAAGGAATAATAAAGGTATAGTCCATACAGGCCTGGTTCAATTTTGGGTTAGCTATCCACATCAGATGTCATCTGCTTCACTTCCTAGCATTATTTTTAAACCTTCTGTTGGTTGGGCAGTCCAGTTAGGCACAAAAGTTTTCTTTAAATGGAAAAAAATTCCAGGAGTCAAAACATTTAGGTTTGATAGCACATGGATTAGTAAAGAGTACCTGATATTGTCCTTTCAATCCTGGTTGTAAAGAGTCCTTTTGGAGTTATCTTTCCTAATACACTCAATTACCTGGTTATAGGTTGTAGGGTTTAATTTATTTGTCTTCTGGGGAAATGCTGTAAAAAGACTTTTCTACTAGAGCATGGTTATTCTCAGCAGAAGCCATTAGGCCTTTACAATATTGAAGCATATTTCCTTTTATCAGCTGTGGATTAAAAGAAGCAAGAGCCAGATGCACTGGGCACTGAGTAATTATTTCAAAGGGTGACAGTTTATGGGATCCAAAATAGGTGGATCTAAGATTTAGAAGGGCTAACCACAATGCCTTTTGCCAAGGTTACTTATGTAACATACAATAATTTAAGACACTAACTAAAATTATGACTGGTAGCATTATACCAAGACATATCAGATTTCTAGAAATTTATACAATTTTAGAGCACTTATTACTGTGACTCAATACTTAGTTATCCATTTAACCATGGTTACAGTGAAAGACTTCACAGGCAAATAAAGAAAGTTAAACAGTTGTAAGCAAAGTTTAACTCTAATATTAAGAACTGGTGAAGACAGTTAAAGCATATTTGGTAAAACACAAAATCTTTGTTTTCTAGAAAGATTTTTTTAAAAGGTAAAGAAAAACCTTTTATAATCTGTTAAAAAACAGACCAAAGTTCAAGAAAACCTTGGTGCTTTTTTTGAAGCAGATATAAGAAAATCAAATTTTGGTTTTATATAAGTACAAAATAAGGTTATTTCAGCTTATTTTTAAAAACCTTATAATAAATTTATTCAATTTTACCTACCTGGATCACACATATAAAATCTTTCTCAATATTTTTTTTGCACCAAACACATTCGCATTTTTTTAAGCAAATGACTAAAGACCCAGTTTACCAACTTTATTTTTAAACCTAAGCTTAACATTACATATTTAAACAATTGTCAAAACTTACTATGTTGCCAGCATTCATGCACAACTAGAAAACATCCTCAATTTATATTAAATCAGAAATGTATTACCATTAATGCATTAATATATTTCATTACTAAACACTGAAAAAAACTGAAATTATTTCGGTGGTGAGTCGTCTGGCAATGCTAACTTCACAGCAGGCTGACACCATGTGGCTCACGTTTCAGACAATGGGAAGCAGGTCCGTGCTGGTGTTAGTGTATGGAAGTCACGGTCACCTTGGATTACGGTTAGTAAAAAAGCAAAGTGCATACAGAGATTTACAACAATTTTAAAGACAAAAAATGGTCCTATCATGTGATCCCAACAATAAACCAAACGTCTATGACAACAGGGCTCCGACCAGCTGGGTATAAATACTTTAGATTAGGTATGTTATACTGAAAGTCGAGTTCGTCTGAAATCTTCAAAAAACAGTTCCTGTTAGTCCTCATAGGGTGTTACAGTAACACCTCTGTTAACGCGCCTGCATTGAGTTACTTGTTATCCAAGTGAAGCAGCTGCTCCTTACCATTTATCGTTAAGGACTTTAACTGGCCATCTTCTTCAACTTCCACTCTTTCTTGACCATTCTCGATAATTCTTTGTGGTGATTTTTCTGCCGTTGACCATCTTTGTGGACGTTGATATGGATTTGAAGTTGCCCTTCCCACCACCACCAAACGCCGTGGAAGAGAATGAAGTGAGGCACCCGTGATCCAGTGACCCGAAGGAAGTGAACCCTGCATCGAAAGAAGGAAACCCTCCTCCAAATGTCGGGAACCCACCAAAGGCAGAGAAGAACGACCCTGTGCCTCGGTTCCTGCTCCCATGGGGTCCCCTCTGGTTCCCAAAGAAGTTGTCAAATGGGTCTTTGAAGAAGTCAAATGAAAATGGGTCCCTTCCACCAAAAAATTCCCTGAAGATGTCATCTGGGTTCCGGAATGTGAAGCCGAACTCAAAAGGATTGTCAAAATGAACTTCACCTCCGCCTCTACCGTTTAATCCTTCTTTGCCGTATTTGTCATAGATGTCCCGTTTTTTAGCATCTGACAGCACCTCATATGCCTCCGCGACTTGTTTGAATTTTCTCTCCGCTTCTTCTTTATTCTCAGGATTTTTATCTGGGTGCCACTTCAGTGCCAGTTTCCAGTATGCCTTTTTGATATCCTCGGCTGAGGTGTGTCTCTGCACGCCCGGGACTTCATAGTAATCCACCATCTTTTAACGGCTGTTGGGACGGGTCCGAGGATGGGGGACTAGTGGCGGCAAGGCGCGGTGGGGCGGCGGCCCGGTCTCCTCAGCTCTTGTGCGGCCGCTGGTGCAAGATTCCTTTTTAATAAGACATGTACAACTTTTTATATCCATTCAGTTTGTCCCTTGTTCTTTTACCCATACAGAAATAGCCAGCTGTACATTAGGACAAAAGTACTTTCCTTTCCCTCAATAAAAAAATGTATCTCCATATCTCATGCCTTCTTTTACCAAAAACATGTATTATTTTCCATTTATAGTAATTACACTTCTGAACCCTTAGAAACCTTAATTTATAGTGAGACCTAAAAAATAAGCAATTATGAACTATTACATTAGTATTTTTATAAGCACATTTCATAATTTTTTGCTTCTTTTTTTAATTATTACTTTCAGGTGTACAGAACAATGCAATAGCTATCCTTTACACCCCTCACAAAGTAACAACCCCCCTCCCCATCTACTGCCCTCCCACCCCCGATATCATGCTTATCTATTACAATTCCATTGACTACATTCCCACACTCTATTCCACATCCTGTGACTATATGTATATATAATTATAGTTGACATACAATATTATTCAACATCAGCTTCAGAAATACAGTGTGGTGGTCAGGCCTCTACACTGTCTATAAAGTGATCTTCCTAACAAGACATGAGTTCAACTGACCCCCTAAAAAATATTTACAACATTATTGATTATATTCCCCAGACTGTCTTTTCTATCCCTGAGGCCATATTTTAGTTACCAATTTCTATTGTCTCATCCCTTCCCCTTCTTCCTTCATCCCACCCCCTCTGAAAAAATGTTCAACCTCACTAATCATTAGAGAGATGCAAATAAAAACCAAATGAGATACCACTTCACTCCAGTCAGAATGGCTATCATCAATAAATCAATAAACAACGAGTGCTGGTGAGGCTGTGGAGAAAAGGGAACCCTGGTGCACTCTTGGTGGGGTTGCAGGCTGGTGCAGCCACTATGTAAATCAGTATGGAGGTATCTCAAAAAACTGGAAATGGAACTACCTTATGACCCAGCAATTCCACTCTTGGGTATCTATCCAGAAAAACCGAAGACATTAATTTGAAAAAATATATGCACCCCTATGTTCATTGCAGTGCTATTCACAATAGCCAAGACTTGGAAACAACTGAATTGGTAGACGACTGGATTAAGAAACTATGGTATATTTACACAATTTTTTTGCTTCTTCATAGCACAATTTTAAAATAAATCACAAGATATATTTAGTAATAAATCCAAATGTCTTTACTTTTTCTGTAATAAGATTCCAAAAGTAGATAAACCTATGTTGTGTAATTAATGTTTTATTACTATATTTTATTAGGAAATGATCTAGGTAGTCAATAAATTTCTATAATTTAGCTCAATTTATCAAAATTCTAAGGTTTCAAGATATAAAAACATTTTGAAGCTATTTTCAAGTAATGTATCGTATCACATAATTATTGCTAAAAATTTCACCTAAAAACCTTTTATTCTACTCAAATTTATTAATATGTTAGTTCTTAAGAATTATATTTAGATTAGACATAAAAACATTATGAAACATCAGAGAAAGTAAATTATTATCCCAATCTATTTTCTTCTGCTGAAAAATGAACTTATTTTATTTTAAGTACACCTAGGCAGAATAAAAGTATTATATTAAGTGTAATTAAATCCAAATATATGCTTGTTTTAATAAACCAGTAATCCCATACCAACTTTAGTACTAAATATTTTCCCAGATAACATGAACTTGAAATTCATTTGGGTTAGTTTTTATTATTTATCTTAATTTATACAAGTGATTAATTTTAAGCCAATGAAAAATAACTTTATAAATTAATTTTGGCCATATAATCCAAAGTAGGAAAATAGCATAATTTTAACATATATATATATATATTACATATTATATCAAATACATATTTAAAGTTTTAGCTGAGACAGTAATATAAAACTCATTAGTTTATAAATAATAGGTGGAATAAGTTAAGTCTATCTGCTAGGATGGCTAAGGCTTTTACTATTTGTGGAGAAAACTTTCAGAATTATATTTGTCTTTGACAAACTATTTTAAGGAATCTGGGCACTACATTGTGGGTAGGGGCAGCTTTTCAGCAGATTGTACTTTTAAAAGGCCCCCTATTTTCCTTTTATTTCTATTGGTTTCAGGTTATATGGATTGAATTAATTGGGTTTAGTCTCAGGTGACTGGGATGTGTTTACATTCCTGACTGATTACTTATAGGAGGGCCTGGGGATTTGCTGAGGGGGGCTAAAAATTCCTATCAGACATCGAATATCAGCTTTCATTTTGGCCAATTGATAATTATACAGTTTTTAAATCCTTTTAAATATTCTGTCAGTTTTAGGTGGAACAAACAGCAAATGTTTCTGGCAGTATCAAACAATTTTATGAACCAAAGAGGATGCAAAATTTATTACCTTCCCAAGATGATGAGTCACTACCAAAATAGCAAAAATAAAAGAACTGACATCTTGCATGTCCAAAGCAGGAAGAAATCCAAGCCAAACCTTTAGAACACAAAATAAGACAAACAAGAAGGCAATATTATCCTGGGAGAGAAAATATCAATAACCAACTGGTCTGGAGTTGGAAAGGGAGGGACAACATGAAGTTTTATTTCCCTCTATCATTGGGCTCAGGAGTTAATCCATTTATGAAAACATTTGTGGATCTTTCCTGGGATTAAGACATTCTTTAACTTCCCCTTATATCAGTTTCTGACAAAAGGGTAAAGGACACCAGAGGGTGTTTTCTGCAACCTCAGGAAGTTGCAGTTTAAATGTAACTTTTTAGTCTCCTCAAGGTGGAAAATCAGTTCTGATGAAGGATTACTAAAATGAGTACTCAAATAAAGGAAGATAGAAAGGAGCAATAAGAGTTATGTCAGTCTTGGAGTATTTTGGTTGTATTAGGTACTCTTTAATTTTTCATTAGCCTATTACAACAATTTTTTTCATTTATTTTGTTCTTTAGATTCCACATGTAAGTAAGATATATAATATTTGTCCTTCTCTGTCTGACTTAATTCAATTAACATAATACCCTCTAGGTCTATCCATGTTGTCACAAATGGTAAGATTTAATTTTATTATGGCCAAGTAATATTCCATTGTATATATGTACCCCATTTTCTTTATCCAATCATCTATTGATGGACGCTTAGTAAATTAATAAACAAGTGTTGGTGAGGATGTGGAGAAAAGGGAAACCTCGTTTATTGTTGGTGGGATTGCAAATTGGTGCAGCCACTATAAAACACAGTTTGGAGGTTCCTCAAAAAATTAAAATTGGAACTACCTTATGACCCAGGAATTCCGCTTCTAGATATTTATCTGAAGAAATCCAAAACACTAATTTGAAAAGATATATGCACCCCTATTTTCACTGCGGTTCTGTTTACAATAGCCAAGATATGGAAGCAACCTTCATGTCCATCAATAGATAATTAGAAAAAGGAGATGTGGTACAACAAATATTTCCATGAAAGTATTTTGAAATATTGAAAACTTTTGCAAATTTCTGCATGCCAAATAATATTAGGTATCCCATTCTGTTTATTTTATTTGAAAGCTGTTGCTTTCAGGTATACTTTTAATTTTTTTAAAGTATAGTTAGCATACAATATTATATTAATTTCAGGTATATAACATAGTGTGATTCAACATTTATATACATTTCAATGTTGGGAGAGTGTTAAACTGAGGATCTAAGTGTACTTTGAAATCTTATATATTAGAAACATTCCTCATAATGACCACCAGGTGCCATTGTAACTTTAAATCACCTTTAGTATTGTTGATCAACTGGCACAAATTTTTTCAAAAGGAAGGACTGTAGTTCTAAATCATAAAATCAGCTGAAGTTCTCAAAAGAGAAAATTCTCAGGGAATTTTAGAAATTAAAAGTATCATGTTAAAGACAAATAACACTGAGAGCTGGCACAGCTGGACAAAAGACAAAAAGATGATAGTCACCAGCCCTGTGCTTCAGACCAACTGGCTACAAAGTGAAGCCAGTTTCAAGCCCCAAGTTTTTACCCATGCTTCTGAAAATCTGAGTACAGCTGCTTGGAATCCCAATCTATTTGGTAAGATGTCAAATATATGCCAGTATATGCACTTTCTGGATGGCAGAAACTAGAGAAAATTTCTCATTAGTCAAAAAGCCAAATTCTTCATACATAAAACAAGATGAAAGGAAAACCTAATCAGATCAAAAGTTTTCCTCCTTATAATAAATGACACAAAGACAAAGGAAAACAGAAGAGCACACACACAAGGATGAAAAAAGGATACCTTTAATATTATTAGAATATTCACCAAACAGGAAAACCACTGCAAGTTGCTTACCACCCAGGGAACCTCCTGTTAGTGTGAGAGCCATGAAGAAAAGTCCTCCTGAGGGAAACCCCTTCCATGGCAGGAGCTGCAAGCCAGCTTTGAGACAGTCATCTCAAAAGAAACACACTGACCTTATCCAAAGGGAGGACAGTAGGGAACTGAGAGGTCTCACAATTGGTGGAGATGGCAGTCAGTGGAAGTGGTTACCAGAAAGGGCCCTGTGGGGACCATACCCAATTCCATGGGATGCCAGTCAATGAAGGTGAGATTGCTTAAGGCCCAATTCTGAAGCTGGATATGTTAACCTACAACTTAATATATGAAATGAGAAGCAACAAGTGTTTATTTGAGGTCAAAGAATTGCAATTTGGGGAGCATAAAATCAGGCAGAAATCCAAATTGTGTCCTGATTATGGGGTGAGGGCAATGGGTTTTTATGAGAAAAGGAAAGGGATAATTACATGAATAGGAGAAATAAATTCCTATTGGTGCTAACAAGCTGAGTTACTCTTTAACTATATAATTGGTTACTGCTTCTATTTTCATATAGAGAGACCATAATCATCATTCCTTGTGGTCAGGA